TTAGACGAAATTAATACATCTCCAACATCATTCAATAGGAAGTCAATTGTTAATACAACATATGGCAATAACAATCACGTACAATCAGAGCCGGAAAAACGATGGTATCCTATACCTAATGTAATCACTTCGTGCTATTTACTAAACTCATCGTTCTAATTGCTTGTTTTTAAATTTATTATAGGTTGGACTTGTTGATGATGCGGCATTCGTAAAAAATTCAAATTTTATGTATATTGGTAAGTATAGTAATTTGTTTTCTCAAGATAAGATCACTAAGTGAATTATTAAATATTTTCAGAATTAAATATTTTGTAGTTTTATTTCAGCTGATGACAATGCGAATTATGAGGCAAACGGAATAACAGCAATATCAACACAGTCTAAAAATGCGTCAACAACAGCAAGATCTACACCGAAGAACGATTCGTTGTTGATACCACGATCAGACTCCTCATTATTATCTTCTCAACAGAAACAATCGACAACACGGCCAAAGTCAATGGAAGAAAATATGAATAATGATCATAATCGATCACCATCCAAAAAAATTTATACTTCAACTAGTGTACATAAACCCACAGTTTATACAAGTCCACAATTAATGGATGTTCTGCAGCATAGAGCGTTAGAACGTGGTCAACGATTGTTAAATGTTCATATTGCTCATCCTGCTTCACCATCCACAATTCATATAATGTTAGATGAAGATTATGCCACAGCATTGAATTTATTAACAGTTATGCATCATAACGGCGAATTAAGTGCTGAAAAATCAACGACACATTTTAAGTATGTAGGAAATATTATTCTGATCGTATTTGACTTTTTTATAATTTACTTGTTTTAGACCACAAGTAAATCATCTATGTGCTGTGTTTCATGAAGGAAGGTGGTTTCGTTGTCGATGTATTCAAGTTTTGGAAGATACTGTCGAAGTTCAATACATCGATTGGGGAATGATAGTCTCAGCCACTAAACAAAGTAAGATGTTATATAACAGATTTGAAATCTCCATTTGATTATTAACTATTTTTATTCACTATTAGGTATTCGTCCTCTTCCAAATATGTAAGTTTAACAAGTTTTCTAATTCTGTTTCGTATTCAAGTTCGAAATCTCTTTTGTTCGAAAAACTGCTTATCACTTATTCAGATGGCTTCTATTTCCTAGAGAACAACGCATTCTCATAAGTTCTTATTTAGCTTTTATAATGATCCTGCTTGCTGTATACAATGTCGTCTAGATGGTGTACTAGACATGAAATTGGACGATGAGACAATTAAAAAGTGTATGGCGCTATTAAGTAAGTCAATTTGATTGCGTTCTGTTCTTTTTGTATAATAAATAAACATAATTTTCTCTTTTACCTCTAAAAGGTAAGGATAATTATGAGGTTTTGGTAACAAATTATGATAGTATCTATGGTGGAACAATAGTTTTATATTGTGAAAATGAAAATATCAACGATCAAATATATTCATTGTTAAATCCATCAAAAGTATGTTTGATTTGTTTATTGTCTAAATCTTTCACTTTGCTAATTTTTCATCTATTTTCAATCTTCGCTCTTGTGCACATAACGATGTGCTACCACTCATTCTTGTTTTTAGTTTTGCAAAAAAAGTTATATACTTGTAGATGTCGATATCTAGTCAACAAGAGTTTGATGAACAATTTCATTATCAACTCGCTCTTAAAGTTGGCGAAGAACACAAAGCTATATTGAGTTCATTCAGTGGGAAAGATGACAGTTTTTATGTGTTACTTGCAAACGATATAACAGTAGCTGTTGATAATGAAATGACACAATTATCACTTGATACATCGAGATCAAAACCAATCACACCACATGTAAGAACACTAATATCGGCTAAATACGAAAATAAATGGCATCGTGCATGGGTTAAATCGATTGATGGTAAGTTACTTTTTTTAATATCTGAATAACAACTGGGAATTTCTTTTTTCTTTTTCGTTTTTCTGGTCCTTCTTGTAATGTTCTGTATGTTGACTATGGAAATGAAGCTACATTACATTTAATGGATTTAACATCCTGTCCAGAAAGTGTTCGAACATTACCATGGCTGGGAATACGTGTACGTTTTCATAATGAAAAATTATCGCATGAAGAATTATCGAAATTTTGGTCAACAACAGAATCAAATTACATAACAATACGTGTTGAAGAAATTCGAAACAATTATTATACTGTTAGCGTTAAAGTTGATTATTCAACATTACTTCGATTAGAACGTTCAAAAATAAATGCGCCTCTAATAGAACCAATTGCAGTAGCTGAAACATCAAATACAAGAGATATAGTTGTAAAAATACTAACAGAAGCGTCAGTACAAGTGAGTACGATATTATTGATCGTAATTGATGGAAAACTTAGAGATATTTTACGATGAGGGAAATAATACAAATCTGTGACAGATATGAGATGACTGTTCCGAATAGGAAGATACACAATGTGCATTTTTTGCATAGCAGGCGAGCATGAGCTATAACTTGAGAAATATTCACTCTGAAGAGCTGAAAATTTGTGCGAATAGAATTTATCACATGCTCTTTCCTATTTTCGAAGTCAGAAACTTTCCAAATGTCTTGTGAAAGGTTTTCTAGAAAACCTCTGAGATTTCTAGAAAACCTTTAACCGTAAACACTGTTATCTATAGGTTTTCATACCTGGAGAATCTACTGGTGATGGTAGAATTGCATTTCGAAGTTTTCTGGAGAATTTCTGAAAATTTGGAAGGTTTTTACTGTACTTACATGGTTTATATATTTCATAATCTTTCAGCTTGATGTTTCATTGTATTATACAGTATCCAATGATCATTAGGCACTATTAGATGCAATTGTTTGCGCTTATGCTAAATATGATATTTTTATCAAACTTTGAGCGGTTATTGACAGAGAAAAATAGAAGTTACCTGAAAAACTGAGGGCTTTTTGGAAAATCAATAACTCGGGACAGGAAACTTTTCGCAAGTTTTCGCTGATTGTGTAGACGTGTCATATATTGGATCACATTCTCTGAAAGTTTCATTAATATTGGAGCTAGGCTAAAGTTGGCTCACGCATTTTGTCAAACACATCGATTTGAAGAACTCTCTAAAAAAATATTTTATTTGGTTTATCCGGCTTGGAAGGCCCAAAATTTGAAAATTTTTTTTGCTAATCGGTAGCGGCCTAGATGCAGATTTTGAATATGCGTTTGTTTGACTTACGGCTTACCTTGATTTTTCATGTAATCCATTTTCCAACGGCACCAGCGTTTTCAGTCCAATTTTTGTTCATATGTTTTTCCGAGCTTAAATTAGTCGTAGGGAAAAACCTTTTTACCATCGAATAGAACATAGTTCACAGTATATTAATCACTATTTGAATCACTGAAAAGTCAACTTTCATTTTTCCACCAAAAGCTCGCCTGGATGCACATTGTGAGATACTGGCATAAGTGTGGGGTACATCGACGTAATATCTCTTATTGTGACAGTCATGTCATACCTCTCATACGTAGCTGCTCTTCAGCATTTCATTTACTGACGAGGCTTTCTAGCGATGAACCCATTGCTACAACACTTATAATAGCTAGTTTCGACATTTATCGGCTCGGAGAACGACTAAATAAGTGGGAAATGTGTAGTTTTCTTAAACTGCACTGACGGATTACGGCTGATTCATTTCTATCCAAACTGTATGCAACAAAATTGAAGCATGATCCCTACCTTGAAAAGTTTAAACAATGTGCTGCGTATCTTGACTGTTGATAGTACAAATAGATCCTGCAATATTTGGTTTGTCAACATTAAAACGTTAATTCTTTCTACACTACCCACTGATCACGATTTTATTCAGATTATTCCGCCCATCTGTTAGTCAAATTTTCACCTTGTTGATGATATTTCTTTCTGTTTAGACGACAGAAGATGAACGAGGGATGTCAACGATACCAGCAATACAGCAACAACCACTGCAAACTGAGGACATGAGTAATAATGTGTTGATTAATAATTTAATTCAATCATTTATGAACGAAATTAATTTGTTACATATACGTATAGAAAAAAGTGAAGAGAAAAGACAAGACCGTGATCTTCAATTAATGACACAATTAATAACGACATTGAAGCATAAAAATTAATATCGTTTTGTTCTCAAAGACATTTAACAGTTCTGAAGTTGTTTTCATGTGTTCGCTGATATTAGTTTTCGTTTTGCGGTTTTTCTTTCTTTTTTGTTGTTCTTTTTTTCTGTGTCGGATCTATGTAAATAAAATCAGCTATTTTTCCCCTGTGTTCAGTGTGTTTTGTTCTGTTGTGTAGTAATTCAGTGTCTCCGTATGTGTGCTCCGTCTTGTTTGTCTATGTATGTGTGTGTTTTAACACTAACAACTAACTAACTTTTTTCTTCCCTTCACTATTTTTTTCTAATAAGATCTACTGATTTAAACCTGAATATAATTTATAATTTGAAATGATTTTCAATTGAAAAAAAGATTTTCTTGTTGTTGCTGCTGTTTTTTTGCCGTTGTTGTTGTTTTCGTTTTCTTTTTTGTTAAGAGTATATCCGTGCAAGTATGTTTTTCAGGTTAAAAGAAAGCAAAGAAAAGGTCGAATTTGTGTTGCTGCTGTTACTTCTAGAATACAAATCGAGTAATCGGTATATTTGTAAATAATTAAATAGGCCATATGAAAACACTGTTATCGTAGGGTAACGGAATATTTTTTACAAAATATTTGACTAGTGAAAGGTAAATCACGCATCAAAAGGAAAATTTAAGTGTTTACAGTCAGTCATGAAGATCATACGTACACGAGTCCCCTTGACTGACTCATTTTTGTATAAATCAGATCGATTTTTGGCTCGATGTTCGTTCATTTTTGTATTACGTAGAATTCCTGATGTGCTGACCAATGATATAGTTTTCCATTGAAAAGAACTATTCAGAGAACTATTCGAGATCTGAAGACTTATGCTATTAGATGCAAAGTTGATTGACGTGAGTTCAGAGCACCAAAAAGCCCTTATTTCAACTGACCTTTAGTTGTTTTAGAGAATTAGGTTATCATTAGCGTATTTGGTTATTATATCGTCTTTACCTCGGGTAATTGTTAGGCTTAAGAAGTGAAATCTGCATGAGGCTAGGAAAGATAGTTCTAAATCTACAATCTGTCGATGATGACTGTCTTCATCTCTTAGACATTCATTCCTGTTAAAGATACCAAAACTTCTGCTATATTAGTTATTACAAACAAATGAGCTTTTTTTAGCGATAATGTTGCATAGATGATGTACCACTATATAATTCAAAATATTTTAGCGGGTGACCGATTCTTAGGAGCTTCCACCGTACAATAGAGCGAAAGCCGAAAACATAGTTCTTCTCCACAGGTTTGACAGAAGTCGAATTTTCACATTATTTTCGAACTTCGACCATATTTATTAAAATTAAAAGCACCCACTCTTATGATTTTGAATACCGAACATATAAAAACTCTTTTTCCCCTTCTCTTCGGTGATATACCAGCATTGCAGACACGATTAATTTTATACTTCCTATTTTGCTTGTACACAACAACAGGTGCTTATATATATTCTCATGGTGTACACCACATAATGTATCCAAATGATTCGAACATTGTGTTCGAGCTGATGAAGTATTTGAACGATACGCAAATAATACCAATGCCCACTCTTATAATCAAGACGAAGCAGTCGGAATCAAAGACGTATCCGCCTTCCGTCGAGTTCTTGATGTTCCGCTACTTCCTGCAATTGACATGAAGTCGATGGCATGTACACAGTTTATTTGTGCACCGTGAAAAACTAATGAAATTTTATTCGATTATCCATTGACGCGCGCCGATATATTGAGAACAGCTCTACTATTCATATTTATAATAACATCAGACTCGAGGATATCAAAGGGTTTTCTTGACTTTTTTAATTTTTTTGCGATCTTCACGCATCTATTTTGACAGCGCTCGTTTCAATGTACACGTATTTTATTCGCTTTGTACGCTAACTAATAGAAATTCAAGATGGCTGACCTACTTGAACATTAGTTTAAAAGTAGCAGCCAGCAGAAAAATGTGAGAGAAGGATCCAAAATCGCTGCCAACAACTTCTGAAAACATCAAAAATTTCTTCCATTTGCCTTTTGGATAATATCAATCCAAAAACACATCCTGAGAATCACTTCAAATATGCACAATCCTACGGTCTATCCGAATGCGAAGTCTTTTTCGAAGGAAACTAAAAGGTTGTGAGACATCCTGAAGACATGAAAAGTTGCATATTTTAGTCAATCTCTCATTACTCGGGGTATTTTTTTCACGGCTATAAGTGGTGTAACACAAAAAATGGTTACAAAGCTGAAATTATTGCAAAATTTTGCATTGGTTGACCATTTTGCGAAATTTTGTACACAAGTCGCTCTTTGTGGTGTTGTTTTAATGCGTATCTTTTTCGTTAGCAGCGAAATTCTCTGAAAGATGTTTTTGCTTGATTCATGCAGAAAAATTTTTTGGTTTCTGTGACATGGATAATCTTATTCTCTAAATAATATTCTAGATACTTATAAATAACATTGGTTGAAAAATTAATAAAAGATATATAGAAAATGGCTAGTATTGGTGGTCGTGCTTTATCTTTGTTACGTTTACGAGGTGGCATTTATGTGCCTCGTTTCCATGCTGGTACAAGTTCACCACCGGCGCACGCTGGCGTAACCACACCAGGTATGAAATGAATATCATTACCTATTTACTACGTTGTTATAGTATTATTTATGTTTATCAGATGGAGGAACACATACGATGAACGTGAATACCACATCAAAACAACAAACTTTAACAACATCAGGAGCAATAGGAGCTAGAACAACTGGCGGTAGTCCTCCAAGTGATATGCTATTGAATTTAAAAGCTAGTGAGAAATCAAATTCAACAAGACCAACAGAACAGTTCGGCAGATATGGAACATCGTTCGATCGTTTCAAAGAGCGAAACAGTGGTTCAAAACCAAAGAGGTATGAAACAAATGTCCTTTTTACTTACCTGTAAATATTAACATATAATTCGACCGTACCCTGAAATATTATGCATTAAATGTTAAATTCTGTTGAACGTTATGAAAACATTTTTGTCTTATCTCATAATTTCTCTTTTATTTAATTTTATTAGTCACAAAACTATTGAGAACTCAATCAGTTATTCAATGCCGATGAAATTACTCCTAACTGGAATTGTAGTTACGGCAATAATTTTGGCATATAAACGATTTATACTTGATGATCCAAAAGTACAAGAGAAGCTTGATTATGCCAAACATAAAGTCAATCAAGAAGCACATTAGGTCTCGCATCAAATTGAAAAACGTGTTAAATACTACCTGTTCAATTAAAAGAAGATTGACATTTATTCTGATATAAAATCCTGTCGTTTGATGACACTTACAGAGTGCACACGAATTCCTTTGTTTCCTTATTGATGGTGATCTATTCTCGCTACTTTTAACTAATTCAGGCGTAAATTTTTCTGGTAGTTGTAGAGTTTTTGAGGCAAAAAAAACCAGGCGAATGGTATTTAAAATTTTATTTTTTGTTAAATCCTAATCAAAACGGAAACTTATCAACAGATTTTAAAGATCTTTCCTTTTTAGGCAAATTTCAACTGACGGTTACTGTATTATTTATGTAAAATAGATGTAAACGAATTCACAATTAAATGATTCTGTTCTTTAAAGTGATTTTTATACTTCTTAAAATAGGGCTGTTTTTGTCTATTTTTCTCTTTCTATTTGGGTAAGGTATAGTTGAAATCGTGATGGATTGGAAATTATACTACTGTAAAGTCAAAAGGTGATGATTACATTGTAGAGCATAAGGATGTTATTTGAACAAACTTCCTCATCTCATAAATTCATGAGTGTACATTCTGTTCACTATTAGAGATGAGATCGGTTCGACTTGAACAAATTTTTTCCCAACAAAAAACCATCGAAAATAATTCGATTTACTACACAGCTTTAGAAGAGATTTTGCTTTCAACACATCTTAGTTTTTTGAGATATACACAAGGTTCATTCTAATACGGTTTAGACGCGTTTCTCTTTTAAGCTTTTTTCTAAGACGCTTCTTAAATCAGTCGATATATTTTTTTATCGGGAAAAATAGGACTCACTTACTCGAATCTGAGTAAGATCTACCTTACATTTCTCCAAGATCTCAGACGGATCTTACTAAGAGCGTGAGACCGAGAAGTCTAAAATTTGATAAGATTTTGCTGAAATCTCACTCAGAACTATTATATTTCTTAATAAAATTCGTTCATGATTTACTTTACAGAACTTTTGGATATTTTGTTTAAGTACTGATAAATTTCTTTTACAGAGTTCTGGTTTGAGTCCACTGCCCTACATCGTTGAAATTGTAGTCGAACAGACCCGAAAAACGAAAAAACATTTCATATTCTTAGACGTCCACTCTTGGCTGTTGACTTGCAGTATACACTCTCTGAGTAGTTGTTGAACTCTTTCTTTAAAGTCTTGAGGAAAACTGAAAATGTAAAAATCAATTATATTTTTGGTATTACTTGTATAGATGCATAAGAACAAAACAAAGGGGTGAATGAAAGTAGAGCCATCACATCTTATTTAAATCGTAAACAAGATGTTAGATCTTACACTATCTTAGCTAAATAGTTTTAAGAAGTGCCTAAGATTTTTGCAAGAGTTAGTTAAAACAAAAAAGCTACTACCCAGGCGAATGAAATCCTATGAAATCTGATGTTTTCTTAAAGAATCTTGTAATAAAATCATACAATAAGATCTCAACTGCTTGTCCACGTAACGCGACACTTCCCGCTAATTACGAATTTGATGCTCTTGAGAAACAAAATTTTAATTTTCAGCAAGAAAATTCAAAGTTAAATTTTTTAAAAGGTTTAATTTCACTTTTTCGACCCAGAAATTTTTTTGAAAAAATTAGAAATTAACTATTCAATAGAGAATTAAATTCTCTACAAAATGGCTTATTTTGTTTTGAAAGTCGATTTTAGGATCCAAATCTAGGTTTTTCAGAGCTTTCGAAGTTTCAGCCAAGTTTTAGACTGGACAAAAAAGTTTTCAACTCCAGTTTTCGCATAAATCGTTAGAATATGCTAAAATCTCCGGTAAGTATAAAAAAATTTTTTGAGAACGCTGAGTGCCAGAAAATGCACCGAGAAAAAAGTGTGTCACAGTGTTATTTTACAAAATTGACTTTTCTAGGTGTGTGGAAGGGTTTGGAAGAAACATTTTTTTTACCAAAAGTAAGCCTGTTAGCTCCTCTACAAACTTGACTTTAGAAACTTTTCAGATGCACAGCTCTATTCGCAGGAAATCAGAGCTGTACCAGAAATTCTCAAAAAATAGGTTCCTTTTCTGTCACAGCGTTACTCGCCGAAAATCTTTCTGCACAAGATATCATTTCTGTAATGTCTTGTAAGAGCTTATTCATACGTTCTTTTTGAGTTCTTACGACAAGAAAGTTCGCAAATTGTAACACTTTTCTGCATCTGGCGACTCTTAGAGTCTAATGTTTAATTTTTTCGCTATTTAAAGTCATAGGTCGTGCGATCAAATTCAATATCAAAGCTTTTTTCGATTAAATTACTTTCAAGCTGTTACACTGATCGGCTTTCTTGTCCTATTTCTTGCAAGATTCTTCTCTCTTGTCATTTCAGTCGAGAATCTTGAGATAAAAATATATGTAAACTATTTAACAAGATTCTTGGCTGAAATGATAAGAGGGACGAATCTTTCAAGAAATAAGATAAGAAAGTCGACCAGTGTATGTTGAACTGTTTCTTGCTCATCTTTTATCCCTGTTCACTTATACCGTTTACACCAAGGAGAAATAGATCAAGCATTGTAATAACCTGCAGAAAAAATAAAACATTGGTCGATAACCTATTTGGAAATGTCCAAAATAATCAGAATCAAAACATGACGAACAGGGGATTATTGTCATTTCGTTGTTCATACTCCTCCCAAGTCACACGAATATAGGTCAAAATGACTCTGTTTGTATTTGCCGAATTGTTTTGCTAGATTAAGTTATGGAGAGTTCGTGTTGGTCTCAAACTGAAAGCTAAAACAATCCTCTATGAGGTGACAAAGACCATTCAGATATTTTGGTTTTTCTGAATAACAAGAGACTTAGAAAGTCCAGCCTCACTTATTTGAGTTCCTGTCTCAAAAAGACATTTCTAACGGAAAAACTAGAACAGAATTCAGAAATATGGCTGTCACTCTATAGAGAAATGTCTTGGCGTCAATTTGCAACCAATTCCACCTCTTGATTTGGCTGAAATTTTGTGTAAATACGCAACGCTGTGAAGAGTAAAAAGTGATTTTGAAAACTTTATTATGACATAATTACTTTAACAAGATTTCAATAAAAAAACACTTGATGAATGTTTTTTATTAATCAACAAGATTTGTTTTCTTTTCTCAAAAGAAAATAACAAAATAACTAGAAAGCAACAAAAGATGGCCGATATAGAATTTGATCTGATTCCGATTCCCATCTTCTTACAAAGTATAGTATCAGTCAGTACTTTTCAGGACAAATAATGTAGCTAGGGAGAAGTGTCATGACCTATCCTCATTTTTTTCACGTGTTTAGTTCAACTCTCTCGACTATCAACTCTGAGCGAAGTTTGTGCTGAAACAAAGATGACATGAAAGCGAGATACAAATTAAGATTAAAGCAGTGTATGATACTCGAAAACTTTTTTTGCTCCAGCACAAAATGTTCGACCCAGCCCACCAATTCTTTTTTGATTCTATGAAGGATGATCCAAAAGTCTAAAAATCCTAGTGACGCTACTGTTCCAGGCTAAATATTACAATTTTCTCATTATTTAACATTTTCTGAAAGTTTAATTCACATCCGACAACGTATAGTTACCGGGATCAATTACTCAGCTAGATTCAGCTGTTCATCTATTTGACAAAAGTCTCTCAGACTTGATTACATAACATTATCCTTTTTTTCTTTAGTACAATTTTTGTTTTATGCACAAAAAACAGAAATATGTTGTTTTCCGATATTAGTTAAAGCATAAAGATATGAATATTACTATAGCATAAAATATGTTCGCAAATACTGCACGAAATAGCTACGTTTTCTGTACAGATGTGTGCTATAAACATCACATTTAAAATCAAAAAATGTTGGAGTTAAACGTGTATGGAAGGCAACAGAGTGATATGATGGTGGATCTTGGTTTAAATCGATTGTATGACATATTCTTCAAAAAAGATATGAACAGTATTCATTAAACGTATTCGATAAAAAAACATAATTCAAATATTAAATGATGCAGATCGAATTGATGGAGAAGAGAAACACTATGCTCTACATATTTCATTTTATCACGAGTTATATTTTAAATTTTCCGACAATAGAAACGTATATTCATCTTTAAATTTTACCATTTTATCTTTTAAATATCTTTAGGATATAAATTAGATTTTTTAAAAAGTAAAAAGATTATTGAGGCATCAAGATTGCCGTCCTGTTAAACTACAATTTGAAGATGTTCGACAAATAAAAGTGTTCATACTTTTATTCACTTGAAAAATGTTTATAAGAAAAAAACGGAATTGAAAAATAAAAAAAAGCAGACAATGTTACACTACACTGAAAAATCACCCAAAACTTTTCTAGCGACCATTCTCGTGTTTTATGAACAACGAAAAAAGAAAAAAAAAAATGTTTAATATCTGACATTATTAAGAATGGTAATAAAAAAATAAAACAGAACAGCAAAGAAATAAAAACAACGAAGACTATTCTAGTTAGTACACAAATACGTAAATTAACGAACACTATTTCTTAAACTCGATTATCGGTATCGTGTAGGAAAATATAAGAACTTTTTGAGTTACAAAAAAAAAAAATAATAATATGAGAAGAAAAAAAATTCGGTATCTTAATCACTAGGCATGAATATATGTTTTAAACATGAATTCTCCTTAGTATAAGTGATATGTGTCCAATTAAATTAGACAATTAAATAGTGTTCGACAAATAGACAAATACATAGAGAAAGAAAAGAAGTGATTCACAAAAATAACACTGTGAAGAACATTCTTATCTGTATCGTAGTTTGACTTTTATTTTATGTAGACACATTTGTTGTTGTCATACTTGAAAGATTATTTTCATGAAAACCGTTGAAACCAAATGATTCTGCATAATGAACAGAATTATGCCAACCAGGTGTTGATGTTTCAGTATGCGTAGTTGTTGGACGCGATAGACCATTAGTGATTGTTACGGGAGATGATCGAGAACTTGTCTAGAAGAAAGAGGAAAAAAAACAAAAATACAAATATTTATTAGATAAAAAAATATTAAAAATTATTGTCAAGTTTACCTCCGCGGATAGATTACTATCAAATCGAACATTCGCTATTTCACGACGTAATTTATTTCGTTCTCTTAGTGTACGATCAACACGATCATTTAAATTTTCCATTTGATCTTCGAGTACTTGTATTTTTGATGTTAATAAGAGATTTTCTCGACGCATTTCACGTACTTTTGCATCTTTATCAACCATACTAGATTAAAAGGGAAAAATACAAATGTGTTAGTTTTATTATAGATATCATAGGTGTTAGTCATTAAACCTAGTGTAAAAATTATATCATCAGTGTATTAGTAAATGACTATGTTCTTTGTTTAGATCTATGTTCTATATAAGTTGGGACAAAGAAATAATACTACAGGTCATTTTTATTTTATTATACTCTGAATATTATTTCTAACTATATGATGTTATCAAAACATCTACTATTAATTTCATGTGAATATAAAAATGTGTGGAAATAATCAAAATGAAATATGAAGATTTTGTCGTTCAATAAGAAAATATTTGTATGAGAGAGCCAAGTGAAATATTCAACTTAAATGTGAATAAAAAAAAAATTAATGGAAGCAATTTATAAGCATAAAGCAAATAAGCAACAAGCGCGCATCGATTTGACGTTTTTTTCAATAGAATAGAAACTGACCGAGAAGGAGATATAGCAGCAATAGCACTAATAGTATCATTTTTAAAATGATTAGCAGCAGCTAATGACGTGGATGGTGTGGATGATGATGTGCGGTTGTGAACAACACGACTATATTCTGTTGCTGCCGCCAACATATTCTTATTTGTCTGCTGATAATTATCATCACGATGATTATTCAACGGATACCTTGTTAACAATTGTCTTCGTTCATCGATTAATTGTTGAAAAGATTGTTCTTGATTTAATTTAAATTCAGTCTCTTTTCCGAGTAAACTACGTGTATCTTGTAAATCACGTTGAGCATGACGCATATGTTCAACATATTTTGTTTTTGCACGATCAAATGAATCACTAAATAGAGAAGAATGTTGTTTCTCATACATAGATGACTCACTAGTGACAAATGAAACTTTTTTCGTCATTTAGTAATAATATAGTTTAATGTATACAAACCGTTCTTCTTGTAAACGTTGTTTATATTTTTGTTTAGCTAATTCATAATTTTTTTGTAAATGTTCTAATTTTTGTTGATATGTACGACATTTTAATTGCCAATGTTGATTATCAGCTTTTTCTTTCAAATACAATTGAACAGCAGTTGTAGTTGGTTGTTGATCGTTTTCATTCTAATAAATGAAATAAATAAATTTTTCTATTTTAAATCGTTAAATAAAATTAATATTACCGTTCGAAGTGAATTTAATGTTTGATTTGTTATGTGAACATTATAATCATTTTTAAATCGACATTCAACTAATTCATGTTGTAATAAATCATTTTCTTCCGTTCGTTGATGTATCTCTTTTCGTAATACAATATATTCATCTTTCAAACGTTTTAATTTCATTTCTAACCGTTGTCTAAATAAGTATAAATAGATTACTTAAAAATTTAGAATTAATCCTGTGTAGTGTGAATCAGATCATAGGTGATGTCAAAGTATTGTGTAAAATAGTCAATCATTTTTTTCTCGACTATAGAACGTGAAAAAAGAGTGTACTAGAGTCAGAGTTTTGCACTGTATTCGAAGATGTATTCAAAAATTTTGTATCATTTTCTTGAACCATATGTCAAGGATAACATTTTAAATCTCAAAATTTGACTTCAATTAATAAAGAACTATGCGGGTTTTTCTTCATGATCATAATAATCAGAACAAATCCCAAAAGTGACTTCAGTCATTGAAAGAGTTTACAGCGATGTGTGTATGCAAGTTTCACTGATATGGGATCTCTAGAAAACCATGTCTCTGGGTTCAATCAGAAACTTTTCTGGACAAAATGAGACATTTTCTAGTTCTCCATGACATTCATATGTTAAACTACGCTCATTTTACGAAAGATTCCAATTCATCAAAACAACTAAGTCAACATAAAAAGCAAAAAAAATGCCTTTGAGATCTTTTTGCATATTTCTTGTTTTTTCTATAACGTAGTATTGAATGAAATGATTATTATTCTTTTATTCTTATATGCTATCAACCACTATTTTACACATTATCCGTTAAATAGAATCATACCGTTTTAATTTTTCTTCATCTAATGAATGTTGGACAATTGTCAATTGTTCGGATTTTGTTATTAATTCTCCTCGAATGGAACTTATTTCTCGACGTGATGGTTCCGTACACTCACTCAATTGAGTTCTTAAATTTTCTTCTAGATGTTTGTCCAGTTCATAAAGCTAGAATTAAATTTCTTTAATTAGTAAATACATCAATATAGATTTTTAATTTAGAACGTTGTCTTACGCGTTTTTCTAATTCAGCACTTTTTTCATTTGCTTCTTTAGCTGATGCTTTTGTTTTCAATAAATCTGCTTGTAATTCTTGTAGCGATCGTTGTACTTCTATGCGCTAGAAGTCACATAGTAGTTTAGTATGTTGGTGATATTTATACTGTTAGATTATGTGAGACCTACTCTTTGTTGTTCATGTGAGAGTGATTGTTCTAATTCTATGATTTTTATTGCACGATTCTACAGAGATAGATACACAAAAACACACACGTTGTTATTTCATGCAACTACTAAAACGAATGATAATTAATTTACCTTATTTTCCTGAGATAATTGAGTATTTATATTTGTATGTAGTACTGAACGTTCACTGAGATCACTTTGAATATGTTCAATATACTTAAAAATATCAATAATACATTAGAAATACAAAACTGATAAATAAGAAAGAATGGTAACACTTACACTTTGTTTTTCAGCAAGTTCTGAGTGTAATTTGTCAGTTGTCGATCGTAAATTACCTATTTGAACATTGTATTGTACTTTATCTTGTTCTAATTGAACAATTATTGAACGTGCTTGCACTAGCTCGGCATCATAGGTCGCCTATAGAAGACAGAAATATTAGAATCTAATACCATGGATTTATTTGAGAATCAATGATTAAAATCCGTCTTTCATAGTGTGTAATGAGGAGAAAAAGACAGTTTGTGAGACTCGCATACGTAGGAGTGTAGGATAGACAATTCTACATTTTGCTGAACTTTTAGATTGGATTGAAAAAGGGTAATCTCTGAGTGACAGCGTTAACAAGATATGAGTCTTCTAAGGCAGTTTCTTAAATAAACTTCAAATTTCTCTGAGATACATGCATAAAAATTGTTTCATATATCATTTAAAAGAGCTGATTGTCTGCTTTATAGGTATGTGTCTTGCAGGTATTCGGTCAACATCTGACAAGATTTAAAATAGTACGAAACAATCTTATTGTAACGTCAACCCATATGAACGCATAACTTTTTCTTTAGCTGGATAGAGTTGAGGCATCTCTATCTTCCACGGATGTGGAGTTCTTCCTGTGATCCAGGAAAGAGCTCTGCAAAATCCTGATTCTTCAAATAAATTCTGTTTCTTTCTTTGATAAGAAGTGTTGTTTTCAAGACATACATGATCAGCTCCTTGAACTGCATGCGAACTCCTATAACTCAATAACTTGCTAAAGAAAAAACATGCGGTTAAAATTTTTTTTTTTGAATCTTTAGCGTGTAATGTTGAACGACAAAGAAATTTTCAGAAGTAGTTCTTTTTCGTTAAATAAATGATGTAAACTGCTTAGAGTAGTATTTGAAGCTTTTTAGTAATAAGAAATGAGATTGCTCTTGATCTGTCACCTCTGGCCGCCGTAAACAACTCTTGGTAAACAAAAAATCTCAGAAGATATTGACCATGTCGAAGTATGACGACAAAATGTTTTATTTTCAGTCCATTTGTTATCGTTTATGAAATGTTGTTACAAGAGTGATCATGAACTGTTAGTTTATTGCACGATTGTATATGATGGGTTCCTGCCGCTATAGTGCGTCGTTATTATACCGTTGTTTGCTCAAATTTTAGAAGAAACTGGTGGGTTTGGAAACTCAGAATATATGCGTGGGGCTGTTTGTATTTGCCAAAACTCTTCCTTCAGAGAGATTCTGGAAAGCTTAGGCTGGTTTTGAAATTTACACCACAACATCAGATGTCGAAATTCCAAAATTGTTCAGGGAATTTTTCAAAAATCCTTTTGTCTGCTGCAAAGCGTCAAATCAATTCGAACTCGCCAAGGTCTATCTGAAACAAAAACTTTGGAGAATACGAACAGCCGTGAGGGCGAAAACAATTTTGGGAAATAGCGTTTTGCATTTATTGGTGTATTTCAGCGTTGGAGGCAACAATTTTAGTAACCTTCTAACACAAGTTTGCATTGAGTTATGCCATGTTTCATTCTGATCGGAAAAGATTGCTTTAAAAATCTATCCAGCTCATAAAAAGCTTTAATCTTATAAATATCTACAAAAAAAACAGTATTTCAAGGTCCTGGCCTTTTTTAACAAGTACAGAGATGGTCTGAAGCTAATGGGTAGGTCACTTTGTAATTTACTTGTTCCTTTATCAAACTTCATTTCTATCTTTTTTTGACTAAAGGAACTTCCGTGAAAATTCTTCTAAAAAGCATTGAATGTTTTATTGCAAAATGCAGAAATGTAACGAAAAATACTGAGAAGCTCCAGAATATAGAAAAAGTGTTATCAGATATCATCAGTGCGAGTTGTTTTTGTTTTAAGAGAAGCAGTAAGAGTAGCAATCGTTATATCTATATCCAAACAAGCTCAAAATTTATTTTCTTCCAATATGCTGAGTGAAAAGGTAAAAACTTCGTTATTTTTTTCAGATACGTTCAATAAAATTTCCCTTTGTGTCATAGAACTAAATTCAAAAGATCGTTATTATACACGGGAAGAAAGACTTGACGCTATCAAAAGTTGTGGTCTGATGCAACTGATTTTCACATGCTCATTTTAAAAATAAAATTTTAGTTGAAAATTTAGCTAAGACATACTTTAGAAAGTTGTATATTTTGAAGTTTTTCAGTATTTTTCGTATAATGTACCACATTTACATTTCGCTAAATATGTTTTCTATAAAAATTTTCACGTCCGTTCTTTAAATAAAAATAAAATCTAGCCTTAGAAATGAACTCTGACGACGGTATAAGTAAATTAAAAGGTGACCGATTTTATATGACTCATCCGTTATTTTTTTATGCTCGTGCATGAACAAAGTTTGAAATTCTCACATATAATCTTACCTTAAAGTTTTTATTTTCTATTCTCCATCGGTCAATTTGATCATCTCGATCTTTTATATCTCTATCATATTTAGTTTGTAATTCGGATAAACTTGTATTTAATTGTCTAAATTGTGTATAAACAGATTGAGCATCGTTTGTTGATGAAGTCAATGCCAATTTTAAATCTTTATTAATTTCTTCCTGAGATTCCATCTAAAAAAAATTCAAAAACATATTATATTCATAAACTAAGATAGTGTCTGTGTGAAATTACCTCTGTTTTTAATATTTTATGCTCATGTTGTAATTGTTCATATTGTTGATTTAATTCATTTACTTGTAAACGAAGTTCTTCTCGTTGTCGTATAACATCATCCATTGTACTTACATAATTAATTTCTTTTTGTCGATAATCTGATTGTAATTTGAGAAGTGATTCGTACAGTGACTATATATAGTAGAAAAATTATTTATTAATCAATCAGAAAATATCTTTTTACTTTTTATATTAACTTACACTGTATTTTTGTTCACGTTTTTCATTATGTTCTTCTAAATCATGAATTTTAATATCATACTCTTTTTTCTGATTATCTAATTGATTTTGTTGTTCAACATTCAATTTTTCTAATCGAGATAGTTCCTATGCAAAAAATGGAAAAAAAAAATGTATTTATTTGTATGGTTTTAACATTGATGGTGATGATGCTGATGATGATGATGGTGAAGACGAAAATGAAATTTCACTCACTACATCGCCTCCAAGATCAATCAAAATTCAAGTTAAATAAACAATGTCAAGGTTACGTTCATCTAATATTAAGGTAGTCTCATATATATTTGATAAATAAACATTTTTATTCTAGGTTGACCTATTAACTATCAATATCTATAACTTGGTTTCTATAAAAAAAAATAATGAATTCTAAGAAGTTTCTATTTACGGAAATTATTGCGGAAGTGAATTTTAATGTCTACTTTTTATAACTATTCAATAGTTATTTTTCCAAAAAAATTGCTAGCATATGTAAAATTTATTCCTCTAATAACAAATACTAATTGTCATAAACTAGGTTACCATTGACAAGAGTTCATTGTTATTATATATACCTGTGGTAATCGTTGATTATCATCAATAGCAGCTAATAAATTTTTATAATGTTCATCTTTTTGATATAAATCACGTTTACATTGTTCATATTTATTATTTGCCAATTGTAGTTCATCTCTTATACGTACAACTTCTAATTCTAATTGATTATTTGTTCGATGTAACCAGTCTATTTTTAATTTAAAATTTGAAATATTTGCTGTTGTTTGACTAGTATCAGTTTTTGTTGATCGTTCATCTTTAAGATCATGATCATTTTCAACTGTTTTTAATTTATCTTGTAAAGTTTTTAATTCTTGTTCAATTAATAATTCTCTTACTCTACCACGTTCAATTTCATCTTTTAATTTTTGTCTTTCAGCATATAAAAATTCATTTTCTTCTTCTAAAATTTCATAATCTTGTATACGATTTTTTAATGATTGATTTTCTCGACTTATATCATCTAATTTATCGTATAATTGATCTAATTCTGTTTGTAATCGTTCAATTTCATCTTTTGTCGATAGAACTAGTGATGAAGTCAAAGTATCAATACCATTTGAACAAAATGGAGAAGGTGAAATAATTTCTTTATTATGAAATGTTGACTCTCTTTCTATTAGTGTATGTTGTGTTGACGATGGTGAAGTGGATATAAGAAATAGATCGTCAATTGAACTCATTATTGAATTTATTTCTAAATTTGTTACTTGTTGACGTTTAACTAATTATCGATTCTTATTGAATGAATGTATTTTCAAAACATCATACATACTCACATAATTCAACAATTTCATGATCAGTTGTTACTCGATATAATTTAGCGGTTTTTCTTGTGGTTAAATTGAAATTTTTTAAAAAAATTTGATTATGTCAATAGTGTTATCTCGGTTGTATGACAATATGTTTGAGGTTTTTAGTTTTTATAATTCTAGATCAGTATGAAATATAATGGAAATGAATTATCAATAATAGTTGACAAATAATTATTATTTTCAGTTGTTGAAAGAATAGTCGGCGAACGTACCTGCAAAAGAATATATGTTATTTTTACTTTTGTTTGTGTGTGCTTCTTTCTCTTTTTTTTCTGCTTCTGATAATGTATTTTAAACAAGATGTGTGTATACATAAACAGACATTTGTAAAATATTACTTCTCTCTCTGTCTCTCTCTCTCTCTCTATTCTCTCACCCTCTTTCTCATGTTTTAAAGATGAAAAAGTTGAAAAAACAAATGATGTTAACGATTTAATTCTTTCAGGTCTCTTTTCTTTTTTTTTTTTTTTTTTTTCAAAAGATGATTTTTAAAGTGTATGGTAGCAAACCTTTTCTTTTTAAAAATTTCTTGTTTAACATGAAACGGAAAGGAAGAGTAGTAGCACAAATTTTAATAACGTCGACACACAAACAAGGCTACAAGAAGCAAGAAAAGAAGAAAAAAAATGAATAGATAAGCGAGAAGTTTTTAAGGAAAATAAGAAAATAGAATAATATTATGTTTCTGTTAATATTTTCTTCTACTAAATATTAAACACACATTTTATCAGATTCATTCATGAAATTTTCTTATTTTTCAAACTAGCGATTTGTTAGAAATATTTTTATACTGACGTAACATCTATTTTATAAAATAAATTTATTTTATTTCATATATTGCAATTGTATAATATTATACGTCATAATGATAAAGTAACTTTTTAGTTCCCTAACCTATTTTGGGTAATAAATTTTTATTTTTAACTTTCTTTTAATTCTCAATATTTGAATACTGTAATCGTCATTTTTCTGCGTTTAAAAACTAAAAGGTAAAATTATAACAATAGATGGTTGTATATTATGCAGGTAATATACGAACGTTTTTTTCAAAGAGAAGCCACTATTAGTATAGCCAATGTAATCTAATGTAGACAATATTATAAGGTTATTTTACATTTAAATATCTGATTGTTGTTTTATAGGACAAATTCTTTCATCGAATAAAATATACAACGGTTTTTCTCACTTCTTTTTTTATACTCCTTTTTCTATACGAAATGGACAGAAGCTGGACTCTCTTGGATTTATCATCTCTTACGATGGTGATATAAATTTGAGAACAATTTTTTAATAGGATATTTTCTATATGTAAAAGGACACGTATAAAGTGAGATGAACTCGAAGTCACTCTTATAGATTCTTGTCTAACTATTTTCCAATAAACACAAATTTTGCTGGCCTCTATAAGAGAATCAATGAACTAGAATAATTTCACTTTTTTAATTTTCAAAAACTTCTCTATTTTCAATCGACCATGTTTTTTGACAGACATATCACTTACATCGGTCAAATATATAGCATCAGAAAATAAAATAAATTTATTTTAAAAACATTTTCAATTCTTTATCAAACTAAAACTAAACGTTGTCGATTGTAAATTATTTCTTGCCTGAAGAAAAAAAAAAGATGGTGATGTTATTATGCAAAAGATTTATGGTGACCATATATCCTATCTATATCTGATATGACCGTGCGCTGCCTAAGCAAAGGACATTAACAAAATATAATCTTATGAGGTCTTAGTATAAAATATTAAAAGATTTCACAAAATCTTACAAAATCGTATAATATGAAATTACAAACCCGTGCAAGAATTCATAAATTCTTATAAGAAATTTCAACTTAATATCCAAACTGCTATGTTTTCTTTTTGCCGTAATTACTTCTGTTTTTCCTTTTCTGAAATTTTCTAGCATAAATAGACTCTTAACGCCTTAGGATTGTGTTTAGTCACGTTCATATTTTGTGTTCAACTAATGTGTGAAAGTTGAAGAAAAAAAAAAAACTTTAAAGTTTATTCAAATGAACGATGTTGAATATATGTATACTCTATGTATCGTAGCAAAATTTATATTGTATAAATGAGTGAGTCATCGGTTCTTACAAGTTCTTGGAAGAACATACAACAAGTTTTCATATTCTTGTACGATGTATTAAAGTTTTGTAACAAGAAATTTAAACAGATATACTAATAATGACTGTTGCAAGATCTCACATGTTTATACGACTTTGTATCATACAATTCTGCAAAATCTTAACAATTTTATACACTGTTCTCGTAAGATTTTATGAGACGTTTTTTACCTGTGTGTAAAAAATGATTCTTTCAATTCTGTTATTTAGATATTGTATATTTTCTTCTTTATATATTTCTAACAAACGATTAAGAATTTGTACGTTACTTAATTTTGAATGATACAATATAGTACAAAGGAATTGAATTTATTCTACGTAAATAAAAACAATAATAAACTTTAAATTTTCAAATAATGCTCGTTACACTCTAAACAGATCCATCTTAAAATAAGACAGCTTAAGTCGCTTGCGAAATAGTCAGATTGATTGGTCTTATTATAAGATTTTTGATCTGTCATATGATCTCCTGTCTTATATTAAGACGAAACGACCTTACTATTTTGCAACCGACTTATGGCGTCTTATTTCAAGATAGACAAGCTTATCTGTCTTACCCTAAGCTTCGCCCCCTCTTCTCTCTTCCCCGTCAGAAATATACCTTTTTTTCATGAATAGTTGATATGCTGCTAAACACATGACTGGACACCTCAACATATCTACTCTTAGAGAATTCATAGTGCTTTTGCCACTACGAAAGGTTTTTGAAGAAGTTCTAAAATGCCTAGAAAATTGATTGTTCTGAAATTCGCATATTTCACTGAAATGCTCAACTGAACAAGGATTTCAATGATGCCAGGTCGTAGACCAAATACTTTTGGTTAAAATGGGATATCTCGCAACTTTGAGGAATGCTTCGATCAAAAGAGAGCAAAACTATCATAGCTTTTGAATCATAACTTCCCCTTTTTTATGAAGTTTATACTAAAAGGAGAAATGGTTTTAAGACTACGAAGAAGATATTTTGATACCTTGATTTGATGGACTACAAAGCGAAAGAAAGCATCTGGTTTCTGAAAATAATTCAGTCTTATAGCGAAGAGCTTGCTTTATACCATCTGTTCCTATAATATCAAAGACAATAATCAACATTTCATTCTGAGCTAAATAGCATAATAAGCTCGATCCGTTACAAAATACATTTATTGTAATATTTTATTAACGTTTTCTCGGCATACATTTTTCATACCCCATCCTAGCCAGCCCATCTCTCACAGATGTAACATAGCAAAAATTAATTTAATGCGAATACGAATAATTCATGCTCTCAGAATGTTCAGCTATACTGCAAGACAACATCCAAAAATAATCTAAAAACATGAAATTTCTCTTTGTTCTCAAGCTTGTTCAACTGCAATTTTAACAAGAGTCTCATCGGTTTGTCTTACTTTAGCCTGTCCATGTTCAAATATTTTTCAAGAGTTCAAGAACTTTCATCATGGGTCTCATCAAGCATTCAGGGGACAAGAATGTCAAGATTTATATAACCTGAACTGCGTGTACAACTTGCACGTAAAAGTAAAATATTCTCCAAAACAGCCTAAATAGCTAAATGTTTTCGATTAATTTCTCAGAAAAAAGTTTAACGAGACTTACGCACATGCAGTAATTTGGTTTCAAACCTTTGGGATAATATACATAAGAATATGTATCAAAATCATTTACATAGGTTACTGTTGAATAATTGTAAATCTCAAGGGTAGTGTTCATTGAAAAATCATTTGGCATAACCGGTTAAGAGGCATTTTTGTATGACGGCGTAGAGGTCAAAATTCTGTGGTTGATACACAATTATTAGCATATATTCACTTTCACCTTTTGCATTATCGCGTGGCCAATTCAATAGGCGATTTGCGGTTTACACACGGTCGATTTGTTGCTTATCGATTTCCTTGTGTTGAAGTGACGAGGTCTTCGCATTCTGTTGATGTATTATTGACGAGATTTATTCGATCGTGATTGTATTTTTAAATGATTAATATCATGTTGAAATTGTCTATTATATGTCTTTACTAACTGTAATTGTTCGTAAACACGATCACTTATTTTAAATGCATTTTTTTTTAATATAAGTGTGCATTTTCTAAAACTTGTTCAATGTTTTTTTTTAAAACTTTAACTTTCATTTCTCTAGTCCAAATGTCACTGAAATCGGGTTACCCCATTGCATCTGTGTCCAAAGATACCGAGACAATGAACATTAGATAACTTGTCCAAGACTATCACGCGATCGCCGTTGCCGGGATTCGAACGCCGTATGTTTGAAGTACGTTGTCTGCCCACTAGCCGACTGAATCACGCTGCTCATCCGGCTGAGTCAGGGATAAGAGAATACTAAGGATGTTACGAGCGTAGGCTCGGATTTTCGATTTTTAGAAGAAAGTACACAGTTCGAAAGAAGGAAGAGACCATATTTTATTAAGTATGTCGAAATATAAAGTAATCATTATAAAATGAGACATCGCAGTCATGTGTGATCTTTCAATCTCATTCTGTATTTGTTTTAATAATCGGACGTCGATCGGACGTTCAGCTGAAAAGTATTTAATCTGTTCTGTCTAATCCAAATACAGCACGCACAGTGGAAAACGATCGGGACATTTGGCCAAAAATCGAAAGTGCGCTTTTTTCTGACTTGAACAAGAATAAATATACTTTAAGCTATGCTCTATTTAATGGTATAAATTCTTTTATTCCAAGCCTCATAGTTCGTCGGAAAATTCATTGTAAAAAATTAGCTGAAAAACACTCGTCTGTGGGAAAAATGCGTTTTTTCTATGAAATCCAAGAGATTTAAACGCAAAAAGAATCATATTCTGAATCCAGACACCTATCTTTTAGTGAAAATA